CACACANGTTTTTACGGTAGCACATCCAAACACTTTGTCACAAATCAAGAGTCGTCTTACTCCAACATAATAGTCTTCGTATAATGCTGCGGTCCATTGTTTCGACCGGGAGAAACCTAAATGTCTGTCTGACTCGTTTAACTGCCTGTTGCTTAATAGCCCTAATTTGCTTGAACAGTCGATGCTCGCAGCGCTAGCCGACTCGCTTACAATAGGCGGAACTAGTAGTAGTATGAGAAACTGGATCAAGCTAACGTATTTAGAAAATGATGTGTCTGGAATATATGCCGGCGACTGATCACTTATACCGAAGAAAGCCGCATGTCAATTTATAGCATACACTTCACCCTCAACGAGTAGAGTCCAGTTATATGATAGGCGCAGTTAGTTAAACAACGGTAACTGCCGAATATACGTGGCTTTCTATTTATGTGTAGCAGAGACTGGAATTTACTTGAGAGCGAGAGATCTATCTATGTTATCCAAGTGCACCTAGGCTAAGCCGAAAACGAAACTCGCCGTAGCAAGCACGATGACAAGGATGCTAGCTTCGGTCCCTGGCGCGATACTAGCTAGCGATGTCGTTGGCACTGGCACCGGTAGTTGCGACGCAATAGAGAAAGCCAAAGATGCAGACGACGGCAACACCGCCGCCGTTGATGTATTTGATTTCCACTGAATACCGCTCGATAGCGTGTGCATATACATAGCACTGCCAATATGTCTGCTGGTTGCAGTACATAAACTTGTTGGCAGTACTGAGGGCATCTCGGATGGCAGTATAGAAGCTATGGTGGCAGATTGAGACCACAAGGCAGAAGGCATGACGGTCGAGCCATTCTTGGCGCCGGTCACATATGTCATGCTGACCAGGTTCTGTCTCACTCTGTTGCGCGCAAGGACACGAACGTCACGATCTTATATATTTCGTCCAGTATGTTGCGGGCCGTCGAAACTGGCCACGCGCAAGTAAACAAACTATACTGCACTTTTTCGGCGTACAAAGCAAGAAGACAAATAGAAAAGCTGTTATCGGCGCTCTGATTAGCAGCATGTGCTATATTCTGGAGCAGACAGAACGGCACGAGCGCCAGAAAGAGGCGCTAGTCGATTCACAAGAAACGAAAACTGGCAGCGCACTGGGAACTGTCACTTCGTACCACTTCTCCCGATCCATGCGGCAGTGACTTTTACGGTATGAAATGGCTCCGTTATGGCTTCAAGAGACCATTCTGGACACTTGAGCCGAAAATTCTACGGATGATATCGCTCGCTCTAAGTATTTATACTCTCGACGAGCCGACTCGAAAACCAATTTTCTCTACGAGTCAACGTCTAGTCATGGCAACAAACGTACAAGCACCAAATGAGGAAGATGCTGCAGCGGCGCAAAGGATCAGGGACGCCGAAAGAATATTGAAAGTCGATTCCAACCCCGACTTCGATGGCGACCGTGCAAGAGCTGAGCCCGGCTACACGCAAGAGTGGAACAAGAAAGAATCTGTTTTCAAATCAAAAGTGTTCGGTCTAGAAGAAAATGCCGATCAAGATGATTGGAACGAGAGATTCCAGCTTCTCGGCTCGTTGCTGCACAAAACACAGTGTACGACACTGGACGCGAAATCTCAGGAAGAGATTGCGAAAGCATACGAAAGTAAGATCAATAGTCTCATGGCTTGAATTACACTGACCTGGCTCAAGAACTCTTGAAGGCAGCGGATGGCAGGGTTAGCGGCGATTATATCAAGAAATTGGAGGCATGGGACGGAGCAGCCAATTTTGAAAATGAGGATGAGCATAGCGACAGTGGCTCAGACTCCGACGAGGGCGGGCATCTTCCTGAGGACACGATAGACCCTCCCCCTGACAAAGTGATGGTAACTCTCCTGCAGGCAACGCAGTACATGCAGAGGCTGTTTGAAGACCCGGACTGGGACGAAGCTGAGGCAGCGCTGGAAGCTGTCAATCGTCAAATTCAGACCCAGAAAGGGGATGAAGACCGTAACATGACGGACAGCGGTATTCAGGCGCGGGACGATTGGTACCTTAAGTACTCTTATTGGCATACAGCCTACGAGGAGCTTCGGAAGTGTCGTGACCCAGCAAAATTCGGTATCGAACCTGGGGCGGCGGTAGAAAGAGGTAAGAACCAGAGGCGGCTAATTAGACGTTACGTAAATTCGCGTCAACTGCCCTCGGGGTGGGCAAAGTTTCCGCCTACGATGACGAACGAGAAGCCGAAGCAGTCGACGGAGAAGCCGCAGGAATCGACCAAGGCGCCAAGTGGAGAGCTTGTATACCCTTGGAAGACACAAAAATTTGAATATGGCACAGCCCTCGGTTTCGTGCGCTGTGGCTTTGGGTACCGAGTGTGCGTCGAGATAAAGGAGAACGGCAAAATCATTCGCTCGCTCATGGCAGGAGCCGACACAGGCATAGATCTGAAAGAATGTGAATATAAGAAAAGCCTCTATAAGATCTCCGAGAAACAAAGCGAGTGGACCTACTTGGACCGTGGAGATTTCAAAGAAATTCTCTGGGTCACAAAAGCTCGAGGCAAGAGAAAACACATGACAGGACGTCAACCCGATCCAGCTGCGTACTGTTGCGTGAGGTTTGAATCAGAAAAGACATTTAAAGACGGCAAGACCAAGAGCGGGTTACAGTTGCTTACCATAACCAGCCTCAAAAGGGTAAAGGGTAAAAATATCGCAGAGGGTTTAGTTGAGAAAGTGTGCGCGAGAGACGGCATCGTGCCGCCCTGGAAAGCAGGGTATAAGGAAGAAATCCACGATTCAGAAGTCCTTAAGGAAGCCAAGGAAAACCGCCAAAAGAGGGCTGCTGAGAGGGCCGTCGAGGCCGAAGGCAGTTCCTCAGCCACAAGCAGCGCTTCAAACGGCGGGAGAGACAGCAACGCAAGTGGACATCTTGAGGAGCCGAAATCCAACCTTGACTCCATACTTAAAGACATGAGAGATTTTATGGCTGAAGCTCGTAAGGATCGAGAGGTGATGCAAGATATGATGAAAACTTTCATGGCGTTCGTGCAAGCAAATACGCCAAAGACTGCCTCTGCTAGCTCTTAGCATCCTAATGAGAAGCTGAGATGAAGTCATCTGTCTGTTTGTCTGTTTGTCTGTTTGTCTGTTTGTCTGTTTGTCTGTTTGTCTGTTTGTCTGTTTGTCTGTTTGTCTGTTTGTCTGTTTGTCTGTTTGTCCGTCTCTTTGCCCAACTTGATAACTATAGCTTTAATATAAACTCATCGTTCCTATCAAGTAAATTCATACAGTAATGCGACTTAGTAGACAATAATTTAGGAGTGGATAAAAAGTAAGGATTAAATTGCTCGTGGTCACGTAGGATCTAGGTATGGAAGTCATCACTATCTCTAGGCAAGAAACTGGTCCATTGGTTCTAAGGACTTAGATGCTGAAACAAAATAGAAACTTAAGGCTTATCACACGTTACACCATCTATGATTTACCCATTGAAGGTCGGATTCATGGCAGGAGGAGAAAGTATCGGCTGAGGAATCCTGATTAGCCTCGTGCTAAATCGGGCGATTATAGGACACTATTTCTATTGCGGTTTTGTTTATAAGACTGCGCCCGATCCTCAATTAGCTGCCTTTCCCGCGGGAGAAAGTTTGTGAAATATGAAACTATGCTAGAGGTACTATGAGCTTCCCAAAAGAAATGCCACTGCGCGGACTATAGGCGCCTTCACTGAAACTTTAATGACCAGCCAGAATAGCTGCCACAGTGTAGCGAAGAGGATTATTCGTCCCAACCATAAGCAGACTGAGATCAGAAGCATCTTGATAATTATTCCACCCCTTACGGCGGCAACTGCCGCCACCATTCGCGAAGCGGCGACGCCGATGCAGCGCGAGGCGGCATTGATCCGGTGCGGCGGCGCTAGCGTGCTCATCAGCTCGCACAGCCGCTGCACCGCAGCAAACCGGCGCAGGATTGCTTGCAAGCTTGCCTGAAAGCTCGTCTGTCCGCCAGGGGCCTCGGCATGGAAGCTTATGGTGTCATTGCTTCCACGAGCGTGAATCTCTTTGCTCCGGGTTTTCATTGTGTTTCTGTCGATCCGCGCTGCGTGTGGCGGGA